TCGCGCCCCTTTCCCTGCTGCAAGGGCATCCACAGCAATCACATTTGCAATAGTACAAATCTTGATGGATTCATCCCATCCCCCCTCCTCTTTGTAAGCCCACAGCCCGCTCTAAGCCCTCTCCGTTATCTCAACCCAGCAATCCTTCCGAGGGATCAAGCTGAAAAATGCAGTCACAGTACGGTTGCTTGAAATAAATGAATGAATGAAAAAAAAAAAAAAAAACCAAAAAAACCCACCAGCTAGCAGCTCAGCCGGGAAGCAGCAGTCTTATTGTTTCAAAACCCATCTGCATCTCCACAGTATTTAAATATATTTCACACGAGCACATATACACACTTTATCCACATGCAAATAAACATATTAACAAAAGAGACAGGAGGAAAAGGGCAGGGGGTGGGGGGGAAATCTGAGATTATATTAACTTCATCCAGGCAAGTGGCTTATTTCACACAGGCTGGAAATATACACAGAAATTCAATATATTCTACATTTTACATCTCACACACAGAGCTAAAACATCCTTCAGTGCAATATCTAGTTGCTATGCCAACAACAACAAAAAAGCAATAATTAGGAGAGGAAAAAAAAAAAAAATTGCTGACCCGTTTTCAGAGGGAGAGGGGGAGCGGGGAGGTGGGGTGGGGTGCCGCTTACCAAAGATGCTGATTTGATTGTGGCAAAGCGCTCTCGGTTCCGGTAGTGGAGGGCCTGATTCTGCACTGACTGGGTAGGCCGCCCCTCAGGCCTGCGATCCCTGTGGCCCACCTCATCCCTTATAAATACATGATCCTGCAGAAATGGATAAAAACAAGGAGAAAGTCCGGCTGTGCTCTTCCCGCGGCGTCCGGTTGGGCTCTGCCCGCGGCGCCTGCCTCTCTCTCACCCCTCTGTCTGCACAAGCGCGGCGGTTGGAGAGGCATAGTTCAGCTCTCTGCTAGCCCCGGCAGCTCCCACGGTACAAAATGAATAAGCAACACATTGCAGGCTGGGGTTCGGCGCGTCAGCTGATCGCCAGCAGGATGCCTTCTCAATCCCTGCCTGCCTGGGATTTTTTTTTTTTTTTTTTTTTAAACCTTCATTATTACATATGTGAAAAAAAAAAGACGATTCAGAAGCATAAAGCGATGCAGAGCGATGGGACTCCTCGGAAACGTCGGGCTCAAGCACTGCAAGCCAGCAATCCTGTTGGAAACGTGATTTCCATGTCTAGCAAAAAAGATGCTGTTCCCTTTTAACACACGAGCAACATTCTGCCTCATTCCCTTTGCCGAGTGGCTCGTCCTCGGTCGGGTTTCTTTGTCTCCTGTTTGCTATCTGCCGTGGAGGACGAGCATCCCGCCTAGAACCACGGCAGCAGGCTGGGGAGGACCCGGAAAGCCTCCGTGACCACCCAGGGATCCTGCTTTCCAGTCATGATCCTGCACAGTTCTAGCACTTTCTCTCCACAGCCCACAAAGGATTTTTTTTTTTTTTTCCCCTTTTAAAGCAACAGCTCACAGGTTTTTTAGCACAAACGGTTCCCGCTGCTCGCTGGCTGGCAAGGCTTGGCGAGGAGCGGCTGTGCACCTGCAAAACCGCGCGGGCAAATTGTGCAAGGGAACAAAGCTCTCGCCAAGCAATAGAGGAGACACCCTAATCAGAAAGGCCAGCAAAAACCACCACCACCACAATCCCGCTCATTGAAATAGTGACTGCCAAAAGTCACGGGCTGCGCCTTTGGGATGGAGCAGGCTGTGCGCCCCAGGCGTGTCCCGCTGCCTCCTGTCCCAGCTCCCCAGCTGCGAGGGCAGCCAGCACCGGCACCTCTGCCTCGCTGCCATCTGCCACCGTCCAGTGACTCCCATCCTCACGCTCCAGCTCCTAAAAAACTTGAAGGAAAACAGAGATTCTTCCTGAATTAAACAAAGCAGCAGGTTTGGCGCTCTGGCGTGCCGGAGCAGACACCAGCGAGGTCAGAGAGCCCTACGGTGACAAACCAGCCAGCACCGAGCAGCATCTCCACCATGACACTGCTGTCCTACCGACACTTCTTTCTCACTCTGCAGACACGTGTTTCCCTCTCTGCTGTCCTCAATTTCTAGTTGCTTCCAGTCTGGTTCCATGCACATTTAGCCGCTTTCAATATCATTTTGTAAATGATTTCAAGCGAAAGCCAAACAGGTACAGAAATGCTGATATAAAGAGCCGAATGACACATGGATTTAAAGTGCTTCAAACCCAACACCTTTTCTCATAGCCATCATTTCAAGCATTTCCACTCCACACTGACCTTTCACTTGGCTTTGCACGGAGAGAGCACAACGGCCGAGACCATCACAGAACCCAGCCTGCACCGGAGACAGAACACGCCTAAAACCGTTCAAGAGGACAGTCCTCCAGAGAAGGAGTAGGACTACAGAGTGTAATAAAAAGTTGCAGTTTCGTTTTATTTTGGTCATCCTTATACCGGCCTTCCTGCTGCACTGTCTCACCAGGGGAAGGCTGGAAACTGGGAAACTGGGCTGAGCCTGGATTTTCAACTCGTGCATGTTGGTATGACAGGCAGGACTCGGACTTGCACGCTTTCCTGAGAAAGGCATGTACATACCAAAAACCCCACCTGATCAAACATTTAAAGTTTAACAGTATCACTCAGGTTAATGGGACTTCTGGCTTCACTGGAAGAATATCAATTCAAGTTTTCTGCAGCTTTGCAGCACTATTGCCTATCAAGCAGGTGTAAGAAGGGCTCTGTGACATACAGTCCGTGATACCACAGATAACCCAAAGCCGACGGGCTGGCTACTAACATCACCCTTTCATTTGGTATTTCTATTTCTAGTATGCCAGGGTGAATGTGAAACATTAAAACCAGAGAAGCAGCAAATCACTGAAAAAAAGACTTTAAAAATGGGCATCAGATTTTTCAGAATGCTCCAAAACACCACCTCAAATGACAAGTTGAAATTGTAATTACTTCTTCTATGGGAAAATTGATCTGTGGGTTACTTCCTGTTATCTAAGAGGTGGATTCTTAGAGGGCAGAATGTCATCCTGGTCTTCTTTTATGGGACTTCTGGTTACTTCAGTGCACATCAGAAGCTCACAGCAGAATCTAGCTGCCCTTCAGGAATGTGAATTCACTGCATTCTCCATTTCAGATTGAGCTGGGCAAGGAATGGGAAAATTCCTTTGCAGCCGAGCAAGCAAAAGGACCAATTTCAAGTGGACAAAGAACTCAGTGGTTGTCCTTGGCACCCCTTAATCTGGGATCTGAGGCTTGGGCATCAGGCAGGCAGCCACCACTAACTCTCAACTAAGCCCATGAAACAGTAATAGGCAAAACATTTTTCAGAAAAGCTGTCAGGCTACCAGAAATCAAATCACTTGACATGAAGAGAAGTTATACTACCACAGAGCCTGCTAGTAAACGGAGACCTGCAAGATAAATAAACCCAAGAGGAGCTGTATCTCCACCAGCCTTCCTCAGACAACGTGACTGGTGGCTACTACAGCAAACATCTACCTACAAACCCAGAAAAGAGATTTCTGCTCTTTTTATTTTATTTTTCTTCTCCCAAAAGCTTGCTAAGAGACACTGCAATCCCATCTCCTTTCAGATGTTGGCACAAATCAGGAAATTTTGTTTCAAACTTTTCCCCTCCAGGTTTGTGGAAAGCAAAGATCCAAAACTGGCACCTCAGCTCAAGTTACCGAGTAAATAAAATCTGATCAAAAGCACCCCAGAAACTCATTGGGTTTGGGTCAGGGTATCTCTCAGCCCTAAATCTGTGGTTCCAACGCTGATTGGTGTTTAAAGTAATGTCTCTTCTGTGTGTATTTCACTGTCCACCTCTTTTCTGTGTTTATAGCAGTATTTGCCTTATGAATACAACTTCAGGCAAGTTCAGATCACAACTCACATTAAACCATTCAAATCCTTCTGTTTAGGGTCTGTAATCTTCAACTTCCTACTGAAGCAATAATTTGTTCTTTCGCCTGTATTATCTGCTACGTGAGCAGTTCTCAGGTTGATCACAACAACTGGGGCTTTTGGCTGGGTGTTGGCTTTGACGCTGCTGATCATATCTACCAGGAGTCTGCAGTTACTTAAGTGATGCTAAAGAGCAAGTCTCACAAAAACAATGAAAAAACCCAAAAAGCAGGAGTGCTACGTATATTATAGATTAATAAGTAACCTAAAAAAAAATTGTTTCTGTGGAAGTTAATCTCCGGATAAATAGAAATACAGAGAAGTAATCAGAACATTTGTCCAGACACAAATTGATGCAAGCGGCTTCTGGCTGGATTTCCACACGGCTACCACTGGTGTATTGTCTGAGCATCACACAACGCGATATTCCGACTAGACTCATTCCGGGTAACACTTAATAATTACACTGATCAGATATTTTTTTGTTTTGTTTTTAGAGAAAGATATAGCTTGTTCCAAGAAATGCTCGGGGAAAAACCCCACACAAACACACTGCTGCAGCAAAACTTCCCAGGTGAACGAAATACCTGCTCAGGAGACAACTGGAACAAGCAAGCTACAGAAGCAAACAGAAAACAACTCAGTAGGTAGATTAGAGCTGGGTTTTTTCCTATAGAAAAATCGAATTTTGCCTCAGATTTTAATCACAGCAAAACTGTGCAGACATATCTGTAAATTGCATTTGATATTTAAATTTTTTTCAGTATATAACATCATAATATGGCCAAAACAACCTTCGCGCTGGCAAAGCACCAAACACAAGTGCAAAGAATTAATGAAATGCAGAGAAGGAGTCCCATCGTCTTGAGCAGCTGATTTAGAAACTAACATACACCCCAGCTGCAAACTAATCACACTGGGCCAGCCTAAAGCTCAAACATCCAAACTCACACCCCAAAAGCAACATTCACTTGCACGATGCATACCAACTAAAAACCTTCACAAACACTGTTTGCACAAGAGGATTCACTATCTGGAAAGGACCACCAGCCTCCTAGACAAATAGGAAAGGCAATTTCTGAGCCGTAGTAAGGACTTTAGTGGAATTGCAGCAAATCTCTTCCTTCTAAGAATTTAAAGAGCAAGGAAAGCAACAGTGTGCCATCGTTCATTTTAATGCATTGCACTAAATGCCTCGATCATCTACAGGGAGGTTTGAGAATCAAGAAAAGGCTTCCTGTCACCAGCCTGCTTGACATGACTCCAGAAGGTGCACAAGCAGTCATCGCTGCTGGCACATGCAAGCCAAAACTCAGGAAGTCATTACCTAAATATCCTTTACATCTCATAAAACCAACATATTTTCCAAATATGAATAATAAATCTTGGTATGTAGGAAAACACATACTCAGCTTTGCCTCAGCTGTACCTCCCGTAGAACTGCCACACCAGAGCACTCTCCATCCACAGAACTTGGCGTGGATGCTGCATATGAATCCTGGCAGGAGGGGTGGTGTGTAGAGATCAATTTAATGGGCTTGGAAAGTCACTCGAGTTGCTACAGTTATTACAGAAGTATGTTTTTATTACGGACATTGGGCAAGGATTTGTGATGATCAACTATGAACATCCCCTCTTCATCTTTTTGTTATAAACTAGATTTTAATCAGAAGATTTCCCTGACAGTTTTACTGCCCAAGTTTCATCTTCGTAAGTACTGACAATTTTAAGGTTGAAGTAAGTGATAGCAACAACTCTATACTGCAGTTGAACAAAACAATACTGTACTGGCTTTTTGTTCAGATTAAAAGTGTAACCTTTTTTTACTATTATAAAGTTATACAGAAATAAAATAATATGACATGGGAGCATTCCAAGTCCTATCCCTCTGGCATATTCATTTAGGACAAAAAAATAATATTTCTGAGAAGCCACCTGTACACACAGGGACATACACCAGCAGTGGGAGTCACCTGTGCTCTAAGCACAAGCTTAGAAGCGTGGAGCTCTACTGCTGCCCCGAAGCTCTTGCACTATGGAAGGAGTGAGGTTGTGCCTGCTTTTAAAATTTATCACAACCGCTATTCTCCATCAGGAAAAACCCAGGCATCTCTGCTGCCATGAACTAATACAGCCAGGGAAAATTAACCAGGTCAGAAGCAGGTCATTTCACTTCCCCTGTGACCACAGAACATTTTGGGGAGTTACAGCCAACTAACAGCTGTCATTAAAAAAAAAAGTTAATAAATGCTTTTACTCCATCAGCCTGTTTCTTATGCTCTGTCTTGGAGCAGCTGGTCACAGTACAGATGCTGGGAGTGTTTGATGGGGACACTGAAAGCTTCTCCCAGCCTAGTGCTGCACAGGCGATGCAGCGAGACCCTGAGGTCTGCTCCTGATTTACACCAAGTAAATGCCACTCCAGACTGGCTCTTCGCACCAAGCAGTGGTCTGAAGCACTGGAGCCTGGGAACTGTACTTCACACATGACCACAGCCTTCTTCATCCTACAAGAGCACACGACATTCTGGGGCTGTGGTCCAAAGAAATCAAAAGGCCTCCGATACTTCGAGCTTTGAGCTTTAGAAAATATCAACAGTCTCGGCAATTTTGCCATCTTGGTCACTTTTCATAGTCTGGTAGATCCAGAGGTTGCTAATTAACACACTTGTGGAATACCATAATTTTACACAACACTTAGGTTTGACCCTATGCCCACATAACAGAGACAGCTGGCTAATTATGCTCATCAGTACTTTCTTTTAGCCTTTAAAGGCTGATAAAATGCAAAACAAAAGCTTAATTTAAACTTGAACCCCAGGTTCTTTCCGTTTTGTTTGTGATCAGGCTCCAGAGTGTGACCGAACCCAGCACTCCCTACTTCTCACCTGCTAGACAAACCCCAGTTGTGCAGATCCGCTTCACCACAGTTTAGAGAAACACAGTTAAAGTACACAGACAAATTGAAATTTATCCAGAATAAGGAATGTTACCTTGAAAACAGAGTGGGATGTATGTGTATATAACCCCCGAAATGTCCTGTTCCAATTTCAGTCTTTTCACATGCATTAATATATACATAATACACACATGAAGCAGTTTTCCATTTAAAACTGCATTCCCCAGAGTAAAAGGGAATTAAAAAAAATGCACTAAATTTAAACAATATATTTCCAGACTGGAATATGTCCTGCTACACATAGTCTAAATGCACCTTACGTGTACAGGCAGCAGAAGGCAACCTTTGCCCGTTGAGAAGACACCCGCTCTGCTGCACAGAGCAGTAATCACACCCTCCTGTTAACCACTTTGTAAAGACCATCAGTGAAGATCTGGTTTTTGTGCTTCCAAAATTACCCAGAACACCTGCTTTAAGAGATCTACAGGTGATTTCTTTTACAATACTTCAGTTACAATATGCAAGAGACCCTGTTCTTCCAAACCGGACAACAAAAACTTCCCTGTGGTGCCATGCTTAAGCATTCCACCCAGCTGAGTGTGTTAATCTTAAAGGAAACAACAGCTACGCAGAAGTCTAAGAGGACGGAATTCATAGCCTCAGAAATCTTCCTGTACTTGTACTTTAGAAGTGCCACACAATTGCTGTAGAACAAAATCTTATTCTTAAAGCAAGCAGGAACTCGACTTCTTTCACAAATGCGATCTATGTCTGATGGGAGTGGCTCACATTTTGTTTTCACCAACTGTGAAGACACCGATCAGTCTAACATTATAATGTATGACTGTTGTGTAAACCAATCCCTCCAACTTCTCTTTTAATGCATACATAAATACAACTACTTAACAATGTGAAATCAAAAATTAATACACATTTCTGAAGCCTACAGAAAACGAGAAAAAGCTCCAACTGTAATCACCTGAAAATCAGTTGTGCCACTCTTCAGAGCAGTTCCCCAGGCTGGCACTTTGTACCTAACACACTTTTTTCAGAAAGATTAAAATAAAACCTTCTTTAAAGGTCCTATTGCAAATGTATTTCAGAAAGATGTAAACCCCCGAAACCTATGCAACTCATCTGCGAGTATCTGTAGATACGCAAGGCAATCTTTTGTTGAAGACAACATCTCTTGAGAGCTCCCTTTTATAAGCATTTCAATGATCAATTACACAAACACTGTATTGCAGGGGGGAAAATTGCTTACAAATATTTAGTTAGTTATAACCAGGCTTTGCTGTAACGCTACAAATGAGAAATTTGTCCTTTTCATGCTGCTGTAACATTTTAGCTCCTCTGGCAAAAAGAATACGCACACTTTGAAGCTCTTTGCAAATACAATCACACAAACAACCTACATTTTACTGCCCACTAGCAAAGGACACTACTAAGGCCAAGCCCAAACTATTTTAGTTAAACAATCCCAGGTTAGAGGCTGACTTACAGCTAGACAACTTTAGCTTGATAGCTAGCACTAAGAAAACAAAAGGCAACAAATCACAACATGCAACAAAAGAGCAGAAAAGCATCGAGTGGAACTTGACTCAAAACGTACCTCGTGGGAAGGGTCCAAAGTTCTGCACACTTCCACTGCTCATGGGGGAAATCCAAGTGCAAGCAGATTTTAATCACACACTGTGACTGGTAAACGGTTAGCTTAGCTGCCACAACCACTTGTCACCATACCACGTAACACAGCACGGACACTCAGAAGGAAACGAGGACCGATGTTACGAGCAGAGATGAAGAAGTGCACATGCGGGGCTGGGTAAGGAGGCATGCAGCAAGCCTGCGTGAACCCTGCCTGGACACTGACAGCGCTACCTTTCATGAGCCGCCTCTTTTTATTTTCAGCAGTTATTTAAATGCAGTTTAGCTTTTAAAGAAAAAAAAAAAAACAAAACACAGAACTTGATTCTGGCAAGCCCGGCACCAGGTCCTGCTCTCAGCAGATGGCTCAGCACAAGACCACACAGCACAGTGATCGTTGGGCCCTGCGCGGGTAAGCCAACGTGAGCAATAGCAGGGACCGCAGGAAGCTATGGAGAGCACCAGAGAACATACCTTCTTAGGAACAACGGAGGAAGTGGAATTAATTGTGCTCTCGTCACTATGCATCATGACCAGTTCGGGGCTGCTCTCATCCAGGACCTCCTGCATGCTGCTCACACTGCTGCTCTGACTGCCTGTGCTCACAGACATACTCGGGATGGAATGGTTGCTGCCCAGACTGTCCATCTTCCTACTCAGGTTTGATCCATGCTCACTGTCCTATAAAACAAGGGGCATCAGTTACAAATACGGCAGGAGATCACCTGCCCAGCGTGTGCCTGCAATGCCCAGAGTTTGTTTTAAAGGCTACTCTGCAGAGTTAACGGCTCTTTGCTCATTATTTTGGCAACTATGTTTGTCAAGGCTGCTTGGGTTGTGAAATATTCCCTATGGGCAGTTAGCTTTTGCCTTTTCCCCTGACATCTTCCTAAATCAGGCTTCAAGCCAGTTTTGCTACATGTCAGTAAGTCTGAGCATGACTCTTGGGTTGACTAGGAGACATCCAGGAATAATGGATGGCTGGTAGAAGGGAGTCTCATAATTAAAAGGAGCAATCTAATTTTGTATTAAAACAATGTTCCAAGTCAGAGTATGCCGCTATGCTCTTTGTGAATCAGAAAAGATGTAAGATGATGAACCAATTTGTTTATGATTGGATACCAATCACACAGCGCTTAACAGGTGTGGAGGTTTTAACCTCCGTGTCCCAAGCAGTCAAAAATGACATTTTGTCAAGCTAAAAGCCCCTTTAACTTTGTGTTTTTAGCCAAGATAAATTCTTCATTTACCTTTAAGCAGCTGACTCAGAAGAGCCTGCATTATTGCAGTGATTAAAACCATTTTAATCTACTTAGATATACATAGATAAATATTCCTCGTACAAATATCAGAAGTTAGCATCATTTTTTCTTGTTGCATACTTGTACCAGCTCAGTAAGCCCAGAATATGTCTTAATCTGGACTGATTTAGAGAATTTATGGAGTCCTTTGTAATTAACTAGTGGCACTGAAGAGGCTTGCAAGGAGTCACAGTGAGGACTGAGAACTCCGAAATAGCCTTGATTCACCAAAATAAATGGCTTGCTACTGCACCCAGGCTGTCCTGGCCTCTAAAGGGAGTTTGGGGAGTATTACACTACGAATCAATTAACTGGGTACTCATTTAGTTGGAAACCAATAGAAAGATAAAATTGTCAGACTTGATAGATTTGTATTTGATTGTGTGATTATTTTTTAAGCAATCAGCAGATCATTCTGAGCCTGTGTGAGAGCACATAAAATCCAAAATAATACTATCTTACAGAGAAAATACACACATGAGAATGAAGATATTCCCAGAATGCTTATATAAAGTTGTAGAAGAAATAACATAATGAAGCATCCCAGATGAGGAGATGGCTATGTAATTAATAAATGTATATGCACAAAGGACAGAGATGAGATTGCATATGCAACCTTAACCTCGGACTTCCTGAAATAAATACTTTCCAAATGACCTTAACTGTCCTGCAAGGGCTCTGAGGAAAGCATTAGTAATATTTTGAGTGTTAAAGATTTGTAATGCTCCTTTTCTGCCTTAGAAAGTCTCAGGTGGAAAAAGGAACTGTCTTGTGGCATTTACCAGTTGAGCAGCTTCTGTTAACCAGTTAAGTAGTAACTGAAGCACGTGCGACGTTTTCCTTTCGCTCACAAGTTAGTGATGCACACGAGCAATACAACCTCCTTTTGTGGTACACAAGCTCAGTGGTAAAATGCAGCGCCGAGCATGCTGTGCACATGCAGAGTGGGAGCTTCGTTAGAGTGTTAATTCCTGGAAATACAGTATCTTTTCCCCCTTCTTTTTAGGGGTGAGGACAGGAGGAACATAAGATACATCTTGGAGTCAACTACCATGCACTTAGCTGTTGAGCCTGGATCTGCTAAACAGTCAAGTGGGAAACCCGTTCTCCTGCGCTTTCCTACCCTGTCACTCTCCTAACAGCTTTTCGCACACAGGTAGAGAAAGTTTGATGGTCTCAGTGCAAAAATCTGATAATTGTGCCACCCCCCAACTAAGCTCGAGGTTTAAACGTTGGCTAGCTGGAGGGTTAGAACAGGAGCATGTTGCAGTTTTAATCACAGACTCTGCTGTTCTTGCTCCTTTTGTGCATCTCCTTCAAAGTGAAGGACCAAGTGCCAGTCCCCCCTTCTGTATGCTCTCCTACCTGACACCCAGGCTCACCCATTTCTTCAACCAGAACTCTAGTTCAGCTTTAAAGGAACATCTGACATACGCAAACCTCAAAACCAAGTCCCTGAATCTATGCTGACCTTGGGCATCTCACTGCATATTATCTGGCTATACTGCAGCAAAAAGGAATACAAACATCAATTTGCCTGTCAATTTTTGTTGTTGAGAACCAGTCATGGATTTATTTACCCAGTGTCCCTGCGCCAAATTGCATTAATTTCCATCTAAGCTCATCAATTGAAAAATGACTGGTTCCCTTCTCTAAGCCACAGGTAGTGTCAATCACCACACACTGATTAAGTGGGTTGTTTATTATAAGATTTAAACTGCAGATATATTTTATGTCTTAGCATCAAAGAGTTTTAAAAAATAAGTCTTAATATTTTGATTATTTGCTTTTCAGCTCACGATAGGCCAATTACTTTAAAGTTACAGCAATTTAAAAAATATTAACATTAATCAAGTGGTCTTGACTGTGCTTACAAGAAAGAAAAGCGTGGACTGTCAACAGACCCTCCCTCACACTGGCTGTGAGCCACTTCCCCCTCAGAGATACTCCCTCCAGATGAGTTTCTTCCCTAAAGCTTTCAGAAGAAAGGCCACCATTTGAAAAAAATCCAGAGTTTAAAAACTGACAAGAAATGCACATTTAACACTGAGTAAGGGCTACTATTGCTCGTTACCCTATCCTGTCTCTCCTGATCCAGATGATATTCCAACAGCAAGGACTGCATCCTCACCTAGGCTGTGCTTGTTCTGACCCCTTAAGGACAGGAACATCTCACCTGCCCTAAAATTATACCAGTGCAAATGGGGTAACAAAACAAAAGTACCTCCTCCTCTTCTTGAGACTCGGTCAGTGGGCCATTCCGAGTCTCTTGGAAAAGGATTTTCTTCATTTTCCGGTACTGAAGGTTATCCAATTCACGTACTGCATCTTTCGTCCTTTGTATGAGGTCTATTAGTACCCTTGGTGGTCGGTCTCGGCGAACAAAATCATGCTAAATTAAAGGAAATAAAACACACAGTTTCAGACGTGACACTAGGATGTTTGATGTAAAATCAGGGACATGGTGACTTTTTTTGAGACACCTGAAATGACAGTTCATATTTAATAATCAGCAATACCCATCATGAAAGACTCCAAACACACGGAGCACTGAATACGCTGGCTGTGCTCATCACTACATCAAATGACCAAACCCATCACGCTGTGCACTAGCAGTTTTGAAGCGCGGGCTGCAAAATGTTTTGTTGGGAAGTCAGAAGATCTGCTTAAGCACAGAACTCAAAGGCAGTCAAATCTCTACCCTAGATGTGTTGCCATTCCTCAGGTTCAAGAACTAACACATCCAACTGTGGCTGGAGCAACCAATCCAGGAAAGCCAGTCCTCCTGAAAACAAGAGTTTGTGCACAGAAAAACTGAAAGGAGGAGCTGATCTTTTAATGATTTGTAAATAAACATGGAAAGTATCATGCCACAGCCTTGTTTCTTGCTTTTAATTGAATTCAAACTGTTGTGCATCTGAGTTTTGCTACTGGGGACGGCCAGTCATTTCACCAGCAATTTTTCACTAGCAGTGATGGTGACTATTTTTGAATTATAGCTAAAAGTTCTAAACATCATTTCATATAGAAGCAAAAGGAATCACTTCTGCTCCTCAACGCTGATAACAACCATTTATTTCTCTGTAAACAGTAACAATCTGCAGCGTGTTTATGATTAGAAAAAGGTACCCATTCTTCTCTTATTGTAGGTCATTTTTAGACAGCAGTAATGCCTTTGGAACAATGATCCTGAACTTAAAGCCATCCTATATGTCCAGTACCTACTTGTTTACGCATGTTCTTTAACAGTGCAAATACTAATTTCACTGGAAAGACTATCTGCTTCATGTTCAAGCGCTACTCAAATATTAGAACACAACCACATGGAGACCACAGGGCAGATGCACAAAAGCAAAAACCAAACCCAAAGGCTCTTGCAAACTGAGAACACAATTCTGACTGCTTCCTTGCATTATCTAATTGTCTAAATTACATATGAAAAAAAATAAATGTATGTACCCCTCTGCTAGGTACAGTGCAATACTAAGAAATGATGTCTGAGAGGACTTCATTTGTACACTTTCTCAAAATTGGGAAAAAAAAACAACCAACAAACCCCAGACTGAAAAGGAGGAAGAGGTTAGTCTAAAGGCAGACAGCAAGTTGGCTGGAAGAGTGACTGACAGAACTCAAGTCTCCTGGGAATGTTGTGCAAGCTCAGAAAAATAGGGGATAAGTTTTAAAACAAATTTTATAATTGCTTTTATTTTAAAAAGTGAAAAATATTAGTGAGGTTTTGGTTGTTTGTTGTTTTGTTTCTTTTTTCAAATTTCAACTCTATTTTAATATCACTACAGTCATTGAGCTATTTTCATCTGGGATAGTGAATGGAAACTGAAATCATTCTCAAAAGTTAAAATTCAGTTCCCCTTAAGAAAACATGGCCACAAAAACTTGCCCTATCCGTGTTTACTGTACACAAGTGAAAAACCCTGAAAAGACAAAAAATCTTCAATATTATAACCTAACAAGCTTTAGGGAGAGCTACTGCAGGAGGGAACATCTAGGGTCGTGTTCTGAAAGTCTAAAACCAAATAAAAAGACTGAATATCCATGACTTACGAATAGATCTCAGCTCCAATTGTGTGCACAGCCTCCAAGCTAAGGTACTCATGAAATCGTATCCTTCAATGAACTTGCACTATTCCTAGAGAGCAGGAAGGCTGCCAATCCACATGAATGAATCATTCGGAAACCCACAACATAAACCTATTAGCTGGGCAAAGGGTTGTCAGGGTGCTGCAAGCAGAACCAGAGAACAAAACGCTGGTTACGTGCCACAGCACAAATGTATCACCGGAAAAAAATACACCGGGCGCCAAAGAGAGTACAAAAAAGCTCGTGCATCAGCCTTCACCTGGAGAGTGAAGGCATGAGAGTTAAATATTCTGTATGGTCCAGGCTTAAAGCAAGGACAGGAGTGAGCGCGAAGCTTGCTGTTCAGTAGAGAGCGCAGGGTTTCGATTTCTCTCTTCAAGAACCAAGAGGCTCAGAAATATCCATGAAAATGCATTTTACTGAGCTGAAAGAGCAACAAGAGAATCCATAAAACAAAGGCTGAATGGTAGCCTTAGAACAAAAATCAGCATGAAAAGGTTGTCAGGTAGACACAGAGCAGCAATCTAACCTACTGTGGAAATTAAGCAAAACGCTCAACGGAGCTAGCAATTCCTGCGCTCAAATGTTTAAGGAAAAATTGAGTCCTGTTTACCTGGTGTGGAAGAGTAGCATGCCATGCAATTCTCACCAGCAGCTATGTACAGCAACCAGAGGAATAGCAGGGCCACTAATCAATTTTAAAGAAAGGAAATACTTAAAATTAAAAAAAAAAAAAGCCTAATGGAGAAGGGGCTGGACAGGATTTCATACATCCCTGCTTTCTAAGGGAAGACTGCTTCTGAATTTCCCAAACACAAAGCCCTTGGAGTTCTAAGCAGTTCCTATACTTCTCAGGTGAAACAAGAGCTGAACTGAGATCAGGCAGAAAGATCATGAAAAGATACATACTCCAAAGGTATGAACAGATGAAGAATTAATCATGCTCACATTAGCATTACCAGAGAAAAAAAGGTCCGGATAACCTTCCTGAAGTTCACCTGTGTCTGCCAAAAAAAGACAAGCCAGGACAGTTCAAAGCACCCCATGCAGAACAACCCTGCTCTGGCCAGGAGATAAACAAAGGTCATCCAGTCTCTTTCCATCAGGAATACGCACGTTCCTTTAAATAATCAGCCACTATCTGTAAATCTTTATTAAGAGCTCAATCCTCTGATCATGTGGAATATAATTCTCAGAGTACTACCAGCTCTGCAAAAGATCTGCTATTGCCTATGCGTCTTATGAAGACTGGCTAAGTCTAGATTTTGAGTAGCAATTAAAATGGCTTTTTTATCATCAAAAAAATCAATTAAAAAAATGATTTTCTATCACTTTCACAAGAGACAGCTTGTAGCAAATTACAAGCTTTAAGTCTTTCTGAAATTGCACATAAGCTTAGTAGCAAGTATTGCCTGTTATACAACAGAAAAAATAACATTTTTCCTTACTGGAGAAGGTAAGCATTAAAAACAAAATAAAATTTAAAAAAAAAAGAGTATCAGCAAGCTGATGTTACAGTACTTTACACAGAACTGCATAACAGCTCCAAAAAGGTCTTCACTTTCACACAAGCTGGATGGAGTTAGAGTTTCCTCACTGGCTTTATCCCCATTTGGAGTGCAAACAGGCTTGCCTCTGGTTTCCTCCCTCATTTCTGTCTGCTCTTTCAGAAACCATAGGGTGCAGCCTGGCCACAACCCAGGGCATCCTACTGACAGCACAGTATAGCAGGGAGGCTGGTGAAAACTCCATCTTCATCAAAGCCACAGGAAACACGCTCCCAAGTCCTACCTACACAGAAAACTATGGGTTGGAATTCGCTTCCGCAGCACAGATTTAACCAACCCAGCTCCGGATTTGTTTGTCCTTGATAATACTTTCAGTTAAAGTATGTACAGCATTGTCTAGGAAAAAAAAATATTTAAAATAAAAATAAAGATTAAACCCTTCTACCAACCTCCTGCTAACAGGTCCTTCCTTCAGCTAAAAGCCTGTTACTCACACTACTATCCCATGAGGCTTGCAAGTTCTCTAACACAAATGTCCTGGGGTGTAGGAGGAGCAGGGTGCTGGGCTGCGCCCCCAACTCACTCCTCACTCAACAGCAGAACTGTTTTACCACACAGCCCGCCTCCACTTTTCTGCAGTGGTTCAACTCTTGAGCATCATGTTATAAGAACTGTGACTGACCTAACAGGCAACGTCAGGAAAAAGTTCAACAGAGTAAAATACTCCATCCCAAAATACTCTGCAGAAGACCCCAAAACTCTATTGATTCAGACGAGAGCAAAACCAACAATTTTTTTTTTCAAAGGGAAAATATTTGTTTACCATCTTTAGAATTGATTTGGCAGACAAACAGATTTTTCCCAAATTTCTGGAAAAGATTTGAAAAATTACCCGTAACAGATCTGTTGATGATGGTCTTTCCTGAGGTATTTTCTGTAAGCAGTAATCAACGAATCCCCTAAAAGAGTCTGACCTGTAAATAAAAAAAAAAGTTCTAAATTAAAAAGAAGCTTAGGATCCGGACTACATGCAAACTTATTAGTGCAAAGCAAAAGAAAAACTTTGACTAATTTGTTCTTAAGTTCAAGGGCAGAGAAATTAACTGGATTTTTCTGAATTGTAAGTTAACCCCACCAGTTCTTTCAACAGTTAAAGACTGCTGAAACAAATATGGACATACAATGATCCCCAACCACACAATGAAAACCGAGCAAGAACTATGTGTACTAGTCACTACTTTCAATTTTACTTCAACCTTTACCTTGAAGTAAGGTGCCATTGAACTCGAAAGCAGCACAAGAAGCACCTTACTTACCCCTGTGTTCTCAGAGCCACAAACAGGTTGACTATAAACAAACTGCCTGCAATCAAGAATACTGATTCTTGTGCTGTCTTGACAAGCTGTCTCTACTCTGCACTGCAAATTCTGCCCAGAAGAACACGGCTAACAGCGTGCAGATATGAGAACAAGTTCTTTGAATCTTGAAAAATGGACAAAGCAGAGACAATGAAACAAGGAAACTGGAGTGTTTTGATAAAATGATCAGCAATGAAACAACTATGCTACTAACGCCTAGCACTGTAACTGGGGAAACTCCATGCCCCTCCAGGGTTGGTTTCAAGCCCTCTGCAGCATCTGCCAAGCATCTCTCATTCCACTCTTGGGTACAGAGAACAGGAAACGGGGTAACCCCTCTGCTCCCATGAAATAACAAAGCATTCTTGTATCAAAGCTCAGATTCTGGAACAAGCCTGTAGCATGGGGAGTGTTTACTTGCCACAGAGCTCTGATGACTTTTGAAGCCACTCACTGAAAAAAAAGAATAAATCTAATTACCTCTATATTCCGTGTACCTCTCCCCTTCCTTTCTCCACATTTCAGCTGCACTACAATGCTAACAATTCTTCTGTCAGGGATCTTTTGCAGCTGGAAACTTTGCTGAGCTATAACTGGCTTAATGCGTCCAAGAATATTTTAATTCCTACAGCATCTACAGCCCCACAATTAACACCTCCATGCATTTAGATTGTAGCACAGCCAAAGTGGCAGAAGGTCAAAATGGAGCCTGCCTACATAGGAGCATTATTTGAGAGCACAGTCAAGTCACTACACTGCAACACACACTTTTCTTGTCAGACTTTAACCATGCAGAGAGTGTCGCAGAGTGTTTTCAGGGAAACAAAAAGAAAAAAGTCTTGTAATAGGTCTCTTACCATTCATTTGACTGTAATGTAGGGGAGTCATTCTGGGCTATGTGATATAAGGCACTCATTGCATTCATGTTGAAAAGTGGAGGCTTCCTTTCAGCTAGAAAGAGAAGAGAAAGGTGTGATAAAGCAGTCTGGAAAGAAAAGGAGAAAGATATGGAAGTATGAGCAGGGTATCACTGCTAAATCAATAGCTCATTACTGTCGTCATCACATTTAAGCTAATTGTTTTAATATTCTAGGTTACACTAGGACAACCACTCAAGGAAAGCTGCTATTCACCTGGAGAGGGGATGATGAATTCCAAAGAGAACAGGATGCAAATTGTAAGGAAAAGCTTCCAGTAAATTTTATCTTAACTACAACCTTTCACACCTGACCTGCCACAGTAGAATCAGCAGGGCTGGGGAATTTACCCATCAATCCCTACGGATCTTAGGTGCACTGCTGTAGCACCTGTATAAAGGGAAAAGAGGGGCTGCCCGTTTCATTTGTCACTGCCGGTCACCTTCAAATTCACTTCCCAGATGTGTCAGGAACTGCCCCTAACTGAAGTTCTCCCTAGTCCTTGCACCGAGAGGACACCTACCTACCGGGCCCTGACCTTCCAGGAGTGCAGCAGATCTCACAGAAACTGAGAAAGGCTGGTTTTCACCGAGGTCAGTCATGCCAATCAGCCAATGATGCCAGGATTTTTAATTTCATGTCAGGTCAGAGCAATCACTTGTCCTTGACATGCAGCATGCATGCAAGCCACCACATTTTCTCTTCTTTAAACACTACTTACTTTTAGCTACACAAGCAATTAAGACATCAGCATTCAAAGAAAGCCAAGTGGTGTTCAACAAGAGATTTCCTCCCACTGCTACCTGACCCCATGTTCAGATACACAATCATGCAAAGGCAAAGCTCAAAGTTTAAAAAAAAAGAGTTTAATACTTCTCAAAAGGGTAATACTAAAAAAAAAAAAGCAAACCCACCAACTGTGTAAAATGGTTTTGAGATTGACTGAAAAGCTGCACAGAAATTCTAGTATCAAGACTCAGTGCCTACGTAGGGTAGGATAGTATCTGTTCTACCACTGATTCACTCCTCGAGAGGTCTTAACTAGTTTAAACTCCACACGCACACAAAAAAAAATGTCAGTGGCCATGTGGAAGAACAGAAGTCTAGAACCTCTGATTTTTGTGTTCTTTACATCAAAATATACGATCTGCTATGTCAGCAAAGCATTAGCACTGGCACATGAAATACAACACTGGAAGTAACAAGTCATTTACACCATTACTGTCTCCATATCGGGGTCAACATTTCTTCCCATTCTGTACATCCTCCTCGTTGTTATCTCATATATATTTCTGCTGATTAAGCATTTACAAATAACATTTTCAGTGAACTTGCCCTCACAACAAATTCTTGATGTACTGCTGCTAGGTAAGTATAATCCATAGCAAGAGTAACTCTGAAAATAATCTACTCAGCACATGCAATGTCAATATTCAAACTTAACGTGCACACCTCTGCTCTGGATACCTGCTATCACATCTACATCTGCTTCAGGTTGTGTGGATGCATATCATTTGCCCTTTGCAGTGCAAACCCTTTTCTTCTCATGTAAAGAACCCGTCCATGCTTGATTCATGTCACAAACTTTCATCTGAGATTGAAGATTTTTGTTTCAGAGAGTGGGGAAGTAAGAAGAATTGAAATTAAATGTAGGTCCCTTCCGACACACAATTCTTAAGACACCAGTTCTCTTGACATAACAGCTGGAACAACTTTCTTAAAACCCAGCTTGAAAAATGCAGCCTAGAGACCATAGCTTCTTCTCATACAAGACTAGAATCCTCTAGTTATTACAGGAGTAACTGAGCACACCAGATTCATGTTAAAGCACAGCAGCATTAGTGGCTTGCTCTTGATTTACCAGTGAGTGATTTAACTCAACCATCAGTGCTTTCCAAGTCAGGATTTTTAAAGAAAAAGAAAAAAAAAAAAAAAACAAACCACAAAACCCCAAATTTATGAGGAATAAGAATCCTCCATTTTTTTCAGGACTTCCTAATAAATATTGCAGACAGTTAATTATTCATCTCAGCTGCCAAGTATTTACTCACCTAACTCAATACACGTGATCCCAAGAGACCAGACATCCACCTTTCCATCATACTGTCCCTCGTCCATAGCAAGAATCACCTCTGGTGCCATCCTACCAACCACAGTGCAAAACATGCGGGTTAGGGGATACAAATCGTGACTCCCAGCACACAGCTTCAAATGAGATGGCTTCATTATCTTCAGCAGCACAGCGGACCAGAACTTAAAAGAGCTAGCATGGAGCCGAGTGAAGCCATGCTGAAATGAAACAATGCTTGCCTGCACTAGCAACTCTTCTAAGAGGCGGTTTAAGAAAGGAAAGTAAGAGGCCAACCTGATTGATCATCTTGCTGCTAGCGCAACGTGCTGGCCCGTGGGAGACCCACGCCCATCTCAAAGGCATTGTACCTGCAGGCAGACAGCAAGGGCTGGGAGAGGCCGAAGGGCAGCACCTTCACTCTCACCAGAGATGGTAGCTTTTCCTTGGCACACCAGGAGAGTTTTCCAGCAGATATATGCAGCCTGTGAGTGCAGCTATGAAAGGAACAGGGAAACCCGGAACAGTGGGGACATACGGTGATTCAGGATAAAGGGATGAGTGGGGGGAAAAAGGAGCAGTGGGCCCAGCCTGCAAAAATTCAGCCTCTTAACTTTTGTTCTTCAAAGATGAAGCAGGCTTCCTGCCAAATGGACTTGATCAGAGGTTGAGCGATAGGTGACCTCCCATCAATGCCTGAGGCATCTGCCACAAAATAAGTGGAGCATAAAGCTATGCTGGTCAACTATGTTAGGAATGCCAAGCAATGCAAGTGACCCTTAAGCAAGTTTCTTCAAAACAGAATTCAAGTAGCTGTGTGACTTCCAGTCTGCATGGCCAGATTAGCAGGATTCCCCTTCTCCATGTGATTGTCTTCGTTCCATTACCTATAGCAAGTGTTCACAATTTTTAAGCCAATGCCATTACAACAGTCACAACATTAACTGGTGCCATCTCCAAATGCTGCACAGCCTACCTCTACTCATGGGCTCTGAGAAAGAACACGTTTCCTGAAGAACTGGCCACAGGGTTTTTAAGAAAACTGCTTGGTTAATAAAGTTTAAATGCCAGGCATTATTTTCAGATTGTGAAACACTGGGAACGGAAGAGAGCAGTGTTATTAAAGGACTGAAGTACTGCAGCTTTACTCACCAGTAAGGCGTTCCCACAAAAGAATTGGCAGGGGAGACTATAGATGCAGACCCAAAGTCAGCTAGTTTCACTTGACCTGGTTCTGTTAGAAGAATATTTCCAGCTTTAATATCCCTTAAAAAGAACAAAAGAGAAGTATAATTCCAGTTACAGTAGAAGAACTTTCAAAAAGTGGCAAACAGACAGAAGTCCACTAACTTTTTCCTCAATTAAACATTCTTAAAACCTGAGATTATTTAGAAATCTACTATTATGGAAAGGTTTTTTTTGGGAATAGAAACCTGCCTGCACCCAGAAAGGGCAGGGGGTGAGGGAAGAGAAGAGATGTGCCATGGTTGAGGCCCCAAACTGAGATTCAGGAGAGAATGTATCCTAATACCCAGCTGTGACACCTTAAATGACACCATATACGTTACTTTCATCTTCCAAATGCCCTAGGCTCCCTTATCTTATCCTTTGTACAACTCGCAGATAATTCATACATTTAGGAGATTATAAATAATGAAGCTACTGCAATACAAAAGGTATAAGATACATTCAACACCTTTGGCATCATAAATGTCTAAATTCCAGTAGTAAGTGGATTAATTTCAAGTTAACTGCCCGTGAAATGCTGAGAAAATTTAACTCAATGTGCATACCTTCCAAGAGCCCTGGCAATGACCCTATCCAAAGTTCGGTTGAACTCACCTAAGCACCATTTACACCTAGGATTTCTGCAGACTTGCCTGTTATACCTGGAATATTTTTTTCTTCCACCCATCTGATATAAAAGAAGGAGGATTGCTTTAAGAAATTCAGGTCTACTTACACATTGCCAGCTGAAAATCACAATACAGTGGAAGTTCCTTAAAACCCTGACACAGCACTTCAGTAAAAAAAGGGGAAATTGCACACTAGGTATGTCAGAGATTCCTTTACAAGGCAGCACCTCAGCTATTTGCTTTTGCAAAAGCAGACTCTCAACACAAATGGATCCTTGTCGGCCAGGCTTTATATACTATGCAGTCTGGAATGTCTCTGCCATCTTTTAAAAAAATATCATATATCTTTATATTAAAAAAATGCATCAAGAAAAGGACCAGCCTTTCTTATCTGGTGTCCATCTATAAGTCCTTAAACATCAAAACAGCTTATCAGTAGTAGCAGACCTCCAGCTAATTAGGTAAATGAGAGGAGAAGCAAAGCTATCTTGTTTTCGCTGCAGAGGAACAGCACACACTGAATTATCATACAACAGGTCAAGCATAATGATTTGTGCATCAAATACCAATCCAGCATCCCTGCAGACCCAGAGAACAGGCAAGCTGAAAGACCCCTTGAAATGAGCATGACACAAACACTGGTGAGGTGTCTTTGTCTCCAAAGGGTAGGCACAGGTGGGACAAAGTGAGCCAAAGAGACAGGAATTCACCTGCAGGACTTCAGCAGCAGAGCTGGAGCCAGACCCCCTGTTCCCCCATTCCCAGGACAGCACTGCTTCAAAACCAGTATTGTGGAATATTTGACACATGTGCTACTCAGAAACACGTCCTGACATGTCATCATGTTTTGGGTCTGTGCATCTGCCACTTCTGCTGGAGGACAAGTGCTCAAGATGTCTTCTATTGTATGTTTGAGGCGTTCGTTCTGGCACAGAGACAGCGTAGATCGTCCTCTGTGCTATCACCTGCACCGCTCCCGTCGCTGTACAACAATCAGAGGACTCAGCAGGCACGTTAGGTAGCGACAAACGTTATTTGCTAACTTAGGTTTGCCTTGTATGTGCAATTAAACAGAAAACAATCTCGTCCTTTGCCATCCCACAGCTCAGGACTGGAGACCTGCCTTGCTGTGGATGTCCACACGGTGTCCCTGCAGCCCCGGGCATGCTCCTCCTGCCTCCCCAGCTGCGGGGCAGCCAAGGCAGCTGTTCCCCTTCTCATGCAGCATTTGCTTGACTTGTCTCAGCACTACTGGAACTGGCACAGTCCCCCTGCAGTCGTGCGCATCCGCGCAGCGCTCCTCATCGCTGAGCAAGGAAGCTCGGAAAGGGCACTCCTTCGCCTCTCCTTTGTAAGATACAACAGCTATCGGAAAATTAGAGATCTCGATGGTCCTCTTTTCTGAGAGAGAAGACTTGCCTTCCTGTCTCAGAAGTTAAAAGGAAGAAACGGGCTAGATAGGAAAGACCTGCGTGGTACCTCGAGCAGTAACTTTCCTTACGGCCACTCTCAGCACGCTGCGACAGCAAAGTAACTTTTTCCAGTTTAAAAGAGAAATAACCAGTGTTAATAATAAGCATGCTAATGGAAAGTTCACACGGAGTTGCTAGTATTCAGTATGTGAGATTGCTGAACTCACAACACGCTAATTGTGCCATATTAGAAAGTCCTAATGAGTATCAGGAAAAACTAATTTGCAATAGTGTCCATCCAGGGAGTCATTTATTACAAAAAAAAATTCCATGTACTTTGAAAGCACATAAAACATTCCAGAAAAGGTATTGTTATGCTCAAATAAGGGCATATATGCAAAGGGATGACAAAAAATAATCTTATTTTAGTGTCATAAACTGGTATTCATTTTTAAATTAATATTTCACTTAAATACAATGTAATAACCACGTGTAGATATGCCCCAAATAGTTATTCTAATAAGTGACAAATAATTCCTGTCTCTGCAAAAACCCTTCACTGTCTCAGCCTCAGATCTACAAGTTTTCTGTCTCCAGATTGCCAGTAAACTACAAAGAGGCTTTTTAGCTCGATAAAGTAGCCTCAAGTTGCCTCATTCCGATGACTCCCCACTCACATTACACTAACCTAGTTCTCACCCATTTCACAGGTCCCTGACATATCAGTAGTACCCACAATTAGACAAAAAAATATGAATGAGAACATACAACATTGTTGACAAATGAGTCAAAAAAAAATATCCAAACTCCTGAAAACTACTACATTATGAAAGACAGATCTAGGAGCTGCATCCATGAGCAGCCCGTTACAAAATCCTCCTCTGCCTGGATGCTCTGATTTCTCCTAAGGCAGTTTAGCCTTGACTTAGGCTTTCATCGACTGGTTTCTGAAAGCACAGTTCTACTTACTCATATGTAAAAAATTCTCACAATGTCTTAAGAATAGTCTAGCTCTATCACTCCATCTTACTTGGCAAGTTTTAGGGTGTTTACTGCTAACATTCAGGTGTATCCTTTGTTACCAGGTTCTGCAGTGAGAAATTGCTAACATGGAAGAGAACTCAGCACAGGATACAGCCACATTAAATTATTTCAACAAACAAAAAATGCACTCCTTATCGGCCAACAGCTTTTATTTCGACATCTACCCTGACATCAGGAATACTGACATGTCCATTAGAGAAAATTCTTCTAGAATAACCTTTACCAAAGTTGATGAAACACAGCGAAGCAATTTTCAGCTGGACAGAGTGGGAGATGGCAGGCCATCCAGCAGCACCAAGCTCCAGCCTTACCTGTGGATCTTACAGTGAGAGTGCAGGTAGGCCAGCCCCTGCAAGGCACCGTGGGTGATGGCAGCAATCTCCACTTCCTGAAGTGGTTTCTTGTGAACTATGGAAAAAATTCAAGAAAAACCGTAAGAAGGTAAGATTCCCTATTCCTCTGCAGGTGCTGCTGTTCTAGGTTTGAGGTCATATCAGCCTCTTGTTCTATAAAAGCACCTGTAACTCTTCCTACAAACTGCAAGGCAAGGACAGAGATGATCTCTGCAGGTTTTTCTCATGGCTATGCAGAAACAGGCAGTCTGCTCCAGTCCTCAGGAAGGTGCCAATTACAGGAACATTGAAACAACCATTTACAATATAGAAACGTGCATGCCAACTATACGTAGAGGTGGCCTCCTAGGAAAGTCTCAGCCTCCCCTTGGCATCACAAACACATGTATTCTAGCTACAGAATGGAGTACAGCCAGACTGTCCCCAGCACCTGCAAATACCAGCCTGGGAGAAAACAGCCCCTCGCTCTACTCAAAAGGGGCACTAGCGAAAAGAAATCAAAGCCTATAGAAAACTTACCCTCTAGCAAATCAGAAGCTGATCCTAAACAGTACTCCATAACCAACTGCAAGAAAAAAGCATGCTTTTAAATACCAGGGTACACACTCCCCCACACACAGTTACCACGTGAATGGCTGAGCAACAGTAGAAGCAAATAAAACCTTGAGTGGCAAGAAATGCAATAAGCGATGAAAAAATTAAATGCTCCAAACATTCCAGCAATGTCAAGATATCTTTCATTGTTGTAAAGAAGGTTTACGCACTGCAAGTCCATGGGGAGATATTGTAGAGCATGCTCCACAATAATTGTTTAATCTGCATGAACACAGAGGCCTGCCTCAGAGAAGCAGGGGTTTGTTCCAATATCCTAAATATCTATTCCCTTTAAATTACCTGGAAGCTGCTTCAGATGAAAGAGACTACAGGCAACATGGGATGAATACTGCTACACATAAAGACGCTGCATGCAGTGAATATTTGATGGCTGTACTGTACATTTTCTGCTCACAAAGACCTCCAAATGCCACTCACTCACCCAGGCCGTATGCTCTTTCAGGTAACAGCCCTTATACTCTATGGTGTTGGGGTGCTTCAGCTGTTGGAGAAACTTGACTTCTTTGATGATATCCTGCCATTTCTAACAAAAAAAGCAAAAAGGTATAAATACATTTCTCTGCTTAATCCCCTACATATGCCACACACTGTAACACAGTCTGAAAAGCAACCATAAAACTACTTACAACATGAAGACAGTAAGAGTCATAGTTGCAAAAACACAACTGTACATCAGTTGTCTGGATCCCCATTGCACTCAGAACCCCCCAAGACATACTTAAATAGCTTGAGGATTGTGAATTTTTTTTTCCTCTCATTTTAACTGCAATACATTTCACTTAAAGCATTGCTACTGTTTTGCACAGCGAACTGTCAAGTGGTCTCTAAGTTCATAACAAACCCACCTGCCCCAAGAGTCAACACCACATATAACACATGCACATGCGGGAGGCCAACCGGTAAGCAAGGAAAAATGAGTTTAAAACATCCCTGTTTGCTCTTAACAGACAAACCCACTCCCTACGGCACGTCAACGCACCAATCCAAATAACCAGAGTTAATCCAGGTGCAAAGCACCGCAACACAGAAACAGGAGGAGCACTTAAGCAACAATTGCAGCGAGACTGATATTCTGAATATAAGGTCTATAAAATTTGAGATTCTAGACCCTGAAAAACGTTTCAGGTCAACTATACATTTCAGCTGACACCTCAGAGTTGTGGTTACGGCTCCAATAGCTGGTGTGCTCTTAATGCACTCATTGCTGAAGTTACTACTGAAACAACCACCATGCAAACATTCTGAATTCCCATTCACTTCCTTAATCTGAACTATTTGTCAAAATTTGCATAAACTCATTTTCCCTCCACAAACCTATATGCTCCCTTCCTATGGAAGTGAGCAACAGCTACTGAATTAAAAAGCTGGTCTGCTCGTGTCGAATGGAATAAGCAGCTCATTGCACTGTTCAGATTCACATTATGGTTGCAACAGCTCCTGCATGCAGAATTGGCTTTATTCATCTTACCTCATTTGTTTGCTTTCCACTGTAGGACATTTTCTTGACTGCCACCACCTCGTTAGTGTGGGAATTTGTAGCCTGGAGTAGGGAGAAAGAAACAGATTGAAAAAAGTTTCATTTTTTTTCCTCCCCATGGAGTGAGCTGTGCCTTTGGCAAATGCAGGCTTTTTTCTCCTATATCGCATCCTTGCAAGCTCCTACACTTCAAAGGCATTCTTCTTTGTGATAAGATTTACCAGACAACTGTTATGACACCTTCTCCAGAGTTTATCTATCTGTCCATATCCACTGTTCCTCCCTTGGTCTTCACTGCACTTGCTACCTCTCTATTGATTATGCAAACCAAGGCCCAATATTGCACCTACTAAGAACATGCAAAATACAATTTTATTGGAATTGCAGTAAAAGCGGGCTTAGATAAACCTTTGGAAAAATGTTTTCCAAATAAACAAATAAAGAGGTGTATCAAAATCTCTATAATTTCATCCAAAACCCCCACACAACACTGGTATTTTTAAACAGCTATTTCAAGAAGATGCTTCATTCTGGAATTTATCTCAAGAAAAAACAAAACAAAACAAAACAAAACAACCTTCCTTTCACTGCACCACATCTCAGTTTTGCAACGTATATTACTCAGTCATCAAAATTCTACTTTTCTGCAGCGTGTATGATAGAGGGATGGTGACTGGAAGCTGAAAACTCAGTTTTAGAAAGAGCTCTACTTGCCTGGATTGGCACTGCCCTCATTTCTGCATGTTAAGGACAGAAAACTTGAAGGTTTTAGTCTTAGAAGAGTAGTTGAAATCCCAGTACCTCCAACCATTTAACATTTTTGGGACAAAAAGAAATAGTGACAGTTAAAAGCTTAGAATACAATAGAAGCTAAATGTGGCAAATCCTTCCTTCAGCTGCTGGAGAGGATGAGTACCATACTTTTAAGTAACGTCTTAATGAAAGACATTTCCTGATGCAGACAGTGACTTCAAAGAAAAATGATGTTGGATGAACCAATAGAGCCCAGGAATTACTAAAGGGAGTTGACACACTTAGACTCTTCACAGCACACACTCTTCCTCAAATTAGTTAGAGAAAGCTGAAAGCAATTTTTGGATAAGGCAAAACCTTTCCTAACCACTCACCATCCTGATTCAGCACATAAAAGATCAAGAGTATTTTACTCAGACTACTGAACATTGGTGTTCTAAAGAAACTTCCAAACATTTCTGTCAGTTACATTAATTCCAAATATCTCCACGTGAACACAGTATCTCTCGTTTCAGCTGTAATTTTTTGCCGAATGGCGCACCGCCACGTTCCCACACTTGTGGGTGAAGTTCTTGCTGTACCCAGCGCTTGGGATCCTCCTGGCTGAAATAGCTTTGAGGGCTGGACAAGCACACTTGACAGAAATATCCACTTGCTGAAGTGGTTTTGGCCATAGTTACAGCTCTTTAGTGAAAAGTTTGGCAGAAAACCAGCACATTTTGCTTGCAAAACCTCCTTTACACTGCCCTCATCTGCTTTATCACTTTCCCATATTTCTGACATGAATACAAGTAGGTTGTTTTCAATGAAAACTATTATTCTGAAGTCAAGTGCAAATCAACTCAGTTGATTTCAAGTCAAGTTAGCATCAACTTTAAATCCTTGTGAGAAGTGACACAGGTTTTTTCTTAGCCTTCTGATATATGAAGTATCATTTCTTTCAAGCAAGAGAAGAAATTTCAAATTATCTTCCAGAGCCTTGACAAGAGTACACTGGAAAAAAACCACAACTTGCAAAAATTGAGTTTAAGTTGAAGTTTATACTAGAGTAACCATATTAATCCACAACGACAGTGACACGATACAGACCAACGTCTTTGCTGTCCGTAGCAGTGTCAGTACCAATTTAAATAAAAAGGTTAAAGAGACGCAGCAACAGCGTAACAATCCATGCCCTGCCCCTTTTTACGTATCTGAACGCT